GGACACTAGAGAGAATGCAGCTTTAACACATGAAGCATCGGCTTCATTTTTCAGAACCGAAGGTCTCCCTCTGCCTGGTTTACAAGAAAACTCCAGAGGGTACCTTTTAAATATTAGATGATGATTTAAACAATGGGCCTCTCTTTGTGATTTAGTACCTCTGCTTGTTTTCACTGAAGCTTAAGATATTCTTAATAATGTCTTCTGACATTAATAGAGCTGCTCTATATTTCAGGCTCCACTGTGACACACTGAGGGAAACCCTGCAACATTTTAATTATTCTCTCATTCCAAAAGTTCAAACCAACATCCCAGATTTCATGATGATGGTCTCTAATGTTGTTGTTGTTGTTTGCTCCAGCTCTGTCGGACCCCAGCAGCCGGCTGTCCACGTCTCCTCCTCCTCCTCCTGCCATCGCTGTGCCCCTGTTGGAGATGGGCTTCTCTCTGCGCCAGATCACCAAAGCTCTGGAAGCCACTGGTCCGTCTCACCTCTCTGCTGTTTTAGTATATTCATCAACTATATGTATATACATACAACTAACCATTATATTCATCAACTATATGTATATACATACAACTAACCATTATATTCATCGTTGATTTTATCTATGAGTTATTTTTATTTTTGACGTTGATTTTGATGCATTTCTATTTCTTGTGCAGGAAACTAGTGAAATATGAGAAAATAGTTAAAACTATAGTTTTGAAGCCAGGGCTCCAGATCTAAAGGCTAATACAGATGTTACGCTGTCATGGCTGTGGGATCAAAGATTTTGGTTTTGATTTGTTTCAATGGAAACATTTCTGTCCATAAGGAGCTGAGGGGTCTGATTTTGGCGACACAGTTTTTTATAGATTCATTATAGTACGTGAGGTTCAACTCCCACAAAGGAAAATACCCGCAGCCTTGCATTAACGAAGCCAAAGTGATGCAAAAGTAAAAAAGCCAAACGTGAAGGATGAAGCTTGAATGTCTCGTTTTTGTTTGACAGAACAGACGCAACAGTTTACAATTCTTAAAAGTATATTTATTTAAAATGTCTGTGTTAATAGCAACTAATGCAAGTGAATTCAAAATGCAAAACAAACAGTGATTAGGTAGTAATTAGAGCGTTATAAGATAATGGCGTTGCATTTGAAATGAGTATTTCTATATACAGCAGGTTGTCCGTCATAAACTTGTTATGACTCGTTGTCTGATCCAATCCTGTTAATCTCAGGCGCTCGAGGCGAAGCAGACGCTCAGAACATCACGGTGCTCGCCATGTGGATGATCGAGCATCCGGGCACGGAGGACGAGCACGACGAGCCTCACACCAGAGGAGGCGTCGACGGGTCCGACTCGTCCTGTCCCGGTGCAACGGCCTCTTCTGGAGGCAAATCTCTGGACCGGAGCCCGTACCTGTGCTCGCCCGGAGACATCGCCAGCGCAGATGCTTCAGAGATGGAGGAGGGCTTCAGCGAGAGGTACAGACGAGAAGTCTTAAAATTAAAGTGTTTTTAATAACAGACGTCTTCTTGATTACATGTTGAGTCATCAATTAACAAGCGTGGTCAAAAAGAGAAAACTAATTCCAAAACGTTTTTTTATATGCCTTTAAAGGTTCACCTGTGTGTGTGTTTGTGCGCCAGTTAGTTTTGTGTGTTTGAGAGAGTCGTGCCACTCACCTGAAGCGTTGCTGTAAACATTACAGAAGGAACCGACACTCCAGCTTTTTATCCACCAAAAAAGAGCCTTTAATCAGCAGAAAATGGTACATTTGTGAAAGTCTATATAGAAAAGTCTATGTTTGTGTACTTTGTAGTCCTGAGGGCCTGGACCAGGACAGTGCGGCGGCCTCCAGCGGCGGTCCGCTCAGAGGCCGCTCCGCCGTCGGCAGGAAACACCGCTTCGACCTGGCTGCGCGCACGCTGTTGGCCCGCGCTGGTAAGAACATCCCACATGTTTGTACCTTTCCTCTCACTTTATCTGTCTCTCCAACGTCCTGACTTTGATTTGGAACTTCCTCTCCCTCTCTAAGCCGGACTGTACCGCTCGGTGCAGGCTCACCACAGCCAGTCACGCCGAGAGGTCTCGTCCCTCCAGCAGCAGCAGGACCCGGGCGCCCTCTACGACTTCAACCTGGACGAGGAGCTGGAGATGGACCTGGACGAGGAGACCATGGAGGCCATGTTCGGCCAGGACCTCGCCAGTGACACCGACATTCTGGGAATGTGGATCCCGGAGGTACTGGACTGGCCAACATGGGTGTGTGTGACTTTAAGCTATGTCCAGAGGGCCGCCATCACGTCCTGCCCTTTAGCTGCGCTGCATCACTTCTCACTCACAGTCAACCCTCTGAACCCCAATCAGTAATATAGAAGTCCTGCACCTCTGTGCAAACAGCACAGTCATGGTTAGAAGTAGAGAGAACTCAAACAGTTACAATGCCATCAATCATAAAAAGAACAAAAACACAAGTTGAATTTCTTTGATTATTTATTTTATAAATATTGGAAAACAATGGAACCTAATATATCTATATTTCTCCAAGTGTCCACAAGTGTTACCGATGTTTGAAAAAAATAAATGTCTCCTCTCTCCTCT